TACAGTGGTGACGCGCTTCGATGCCCATTGCAGTTTCTCTCGGGCGCCGCTCGTACCTGGACGGAAGGTCACCAGAGCCTGTGCATCTATGCCCGTCGCATCCTCCAACTCCTTCATGATTGTAGGGGACTCTTTATGGTTGGGAGAGTCATCGCCAAGATATAACGACCAATCCTTCTGATAAAAGATTACAAATTTCGGAGCGAGAAATTCTTGAAAGGTCCATCCTCGCTCGTTCCAGACACTCCTCGCCAGTGCACCAGGCTGGGACGAAGGAGGGACATCGCATAGGTAGACAATGGTGAGCGCTGACTGACGATACCAAACGAACATGGAGTTGATCGATTCTTGAAGCTCGGTATTGCTATTCTTGTCGATGCAGCATGTGTCCATCCATACCCAGCAATACCCAGCATCACGAGCGACTTTGCAGAATGACTGCAGTTTCACGATGCCACCAAGTCCATTCAACTCGTACACGACTTTGTCCTGGATGTCGTGCAGCAACGCCTCTGTCTCTTCCCACCTGTGTGATAGCAGGACGCAACGGAAGTACGTCGCCACCACGTCTTTGATGCGTTCCGTTCGTAGGTCTGAACGTTTCGTTGTGGATGAAAGAAGCTCCTTGTACTCTGAACTCATTTTGAAGCAGTTTATCTGTGCCGCTCGGTTGCACAAGAGACCCGTGGAAGTGTTAAGTACACGAAGTGGGGCGTTTTCGAGTTCAATCCAAATGGCTTTTCGAATAGTATCTTCTGCCTCTGATGGAGAGATATACTGCCGACGCAGCTCTACAGAACGAGATAAGCATTTTTTTTTAGTATTTCGCTAGCTCACACCTCGTATCTGTGCTTCAGGAGCATCGTCCAACTTGGACAACATAATTGTAAAGGCCTCGATGGCTTCGTCATAACGTTGCGCACCACGCAATGCTGTATGTGTCAACTCGAATCCAACGTGAGACGAAGGATTGAGCTCGGTGACCTATGCATCACAGAAGTCAACATGGACTACGACAACATGGACGCCAGCGCACCTTTTGCGCATCAATGAGCGCATCCTCCCATAGCATTTTACCTAACTTTGCCTTGCTGCGATTTGAAACGATGACATCGGATGCAAAATCCAGATCGATCGCCGCCAAGTATAGGTCAATAGCCATGTCATAGTCGTTCGCAGTGAGGGCGGCATCTCCGTTGACAACGCAGAGTGCGCTGCATTCTTGCTTGAAACCTGAGAGAAATGCAGATGAGGATTGTATCCTGCATGTTATTACGAACTCTACACTTGCCATTGGACCAGTCGAGGCAATCGGCCTTGGTATTTTCGTCACTCGAAACCATCATGTACCGGTATGATTTCACGGCATCTTGAAGTTTACCTGCCCGAAGGAGTGCATAGCATCGTTTCTGGTGTGCCTTTTGCCACAAGGACTGCAGGTCCCAGCCAAAGAGCTGGAAAAAACACTCAGTTATGAAAAGCACCATGTATGCACCATCTCAACATACCACCACCACATCCTCGTAAGTTTCATGAATATCTGATTTCGATGATAAATTGCTGGAGTTGAGAGCGGCAGCGAAATAGTCAGCGGCTTCGTCGTAACGCATGCCATCCAAAGCTTTGATTCCGAGTTGAACACGTAGATATACCTAATGTGTGAGGTTGCGAAGGTTAGTGCTGATGACCAAACATGGCTTCATGATACTTACTTGCACAATATGACATGCGCGAGTGTCGGCATTTGGACAACCGGCAGTGAGTTCTTTGAGGAGCAGGTTTGCTTCGTCATGTTGATCTGCACTGAAGAGCGCGATAGCCTGAAATACATGATGAAGCGGAGAGTATGGGAGGCGACTGTGATGTCATACCTTGATCAAGAGCAGGAAATGAATGGTTTCTGAATCTTGGTTAGTGTACATGGATGCAACATCAAATGCTGCCCTCGCATCCCGGACAAGGCCTTTTCCGCAGAGAGCGATGCCTTTGGAGATATAGCCTGTCAATGAGGGCTGAATGCTAATGGACTGTGTCACCATCGAGTTAGCCTTTTGTAAGGGGGCCATGAGCAGTGCATACAACTCACCTTGATTGCATCCTGAAGGGCGTGGTCCCAGTCGTGTTTTCGAGTCATAACGAACGAGCGATGAGCGTAGGAAGTATGGTTTTTGGCATCAATGTTGATATCTTGCGTGAGTAGTCGTTCGGCGGTAGATAAGTCACCATTTATGCATGCAAGGCGGGCTGTCGTGATGGCTAGGATCTGCACAAAACATCGTCGAATTGTGGTATATGAGTCAAAGACGGAAACATGCCTTTGGATGAATACCCTGAGGTGCCCATTCTGAGATGATCTTATCGAAACCTCCGATGAGGATGTGGTTGTCGTCCACGGAAAAAGTAACACATGACGGCGAAAATGAGAGCTCGAATATGGCAATGGATCGTCGATCTGAGAGGCGCCAGAGACGGATGTGGTTGTCATTAGATGCAGAGGCGACAAGTGTGCCAGGAAGATCAATGGCAATGGCATTGATGGTGTTAGTGTGGCCCGTCCAGGGATCACCGACCTGCTGCCAGGTTGTTGTATCCCATTCGCGTATGGTAGGATCGTCCAAATCCCCGCATGTGAGAAGGCGTGTGCCATCGGGCGTCTATGCGAGTGACAAGTTGTCTGATGTGTGAGCCTTGAAGCATATGACATATTCCCTCGTGCCTGGATTATAAATTTGGATATTTGAATGTGCCGCGATGGCAAGAAGTTCGCCAGACGGCGAATATCGAACACAGTCGACCCAACTATCACAATTTATTGGAGCTCCTTGCAGCTTCCAAGTTTTCAAGTTGGTGTTCCAGAATTTCGTCATTCCGTCATATGAACCAGTGACTAGCACTGTTCCATCGGGAGAAAAGTCAAGCGAGGTGATATAAGTGGAGTGGGCTTTGATACTAGGTTGAGTGAGTGATTCGCCAGTTTCTCCGTGCCAGATGATGACCTCTCCGCCTTTATCACCGCTTGCTATCAATTGCCCATCCCGTGATACCGCCAATCTCCACACCCTGCTGCGATGCCCCTCCATTTTCTTCAATACAACACCTGTCTGTAAGTCCCACAGACAAAGTGTCTTGTCCACCGATCCCGTAATCATCCGTCGTTTATCGGAGAACACTGCGACTGCCGTTATGATTCCTTCATGGCCTTTGAACTCTTGCAGGATTATAGGAATGAGCTTCGACATTTTATTAGAGGTTGATGGCGTTGGGCGCGGTCGAGGTGGTCTTTGGAGGGATTATGGGTGTCTTTCTCTAAGTTGCAGAGGTGCGGATTTTATGCGCGTCAACCTGCCTCGCTTCCATAGACGCCCAGGACACGAGGCTTCCACACCTCCATCGCTGTTGCAACCAAAATGCACCCTGTTGTCATACCCGCCATCCTCGACACTATACCCTCCCAGCGCCTCAGTGCATACATACGTCCTCGGATTATTGTCTTCAAAGCTTCCGGAATGTGTCCCATTGCAAGCAGTCGGTGCTTCCCGGCGCCCCAAACCGACCATCTATCCTACATGAGTGCATGGATATCGTTGTTTTTCGTATCTAGCAACTACTCCAGCATATCACCATGTTACTCCTTTCAAGGCATGCATATAGCTTACTGCGATATCACTCCTTCATCCCACCCCTTCTCAAGAACTGCTTGTGCACCGGATACAGCTGAAGTTCTCTCTTGTGGCGTCTCCCGCTCATCACTAATTCTATCACAGAGGAGCGCTTTACTTCCAGCGTTCTGCTCGTGATTCATCTCTACTTCAAGCTTCGCCTGATCCCGGCCCAACTTGTTTTAGTTTTCTCATTCGCCAATCCCCTCCCGAGTTTATCATCATCGGAATCGCACATTACACAATCACCAGTGTAACCGGTCGCTAACCTTAGCGAGCCCTCACCGGAGATGCTACGGAGCCATGCGTTCAAAGGGCTGTTATCGCGGGTGTTTTGGAATGTCACCATGGAATCAATAGTCCATATACCTGGACCGCCGAGAGACCAAGTGAGTCTTACACCGGTTCTTTCACCAATGCTCTCATCCCGATTACCATGTGCCAGGCGCTGCGCGATCGATCTTTGATAGACTCGTAATTATTCTCCGATGTCATGTACTATCTACTTTGTGAATGAGAATTAGTGCATGCTAATGAGGATGAAACGACGGATGGTTTGGTTGTAGAGCGACGGAGCCTGCCACAACTTGAAAACCTCTTAGTGCCCGCATACACATCTCTGTCTATGGCTCTGTTCCAGTGATATTGTGACGAGCCTACTTGCAGCTTAGTCCTTGGGCCGTTCGGCATGGGGGTACTGTTTTGCTAATGTCATCTGGGCTGTTCAACAGTGACTCAAACTTCAACGTCGCCGGTTGCCTCCATCACTGACAAGACATGCGGTCGTTCACCGGGCGCCTGCTTTTATTGGTGTGATAAATCCATAGTACATGTACAGTAAGAAGGAAACGCAATTGCGAGCAAGTATACATCCAAGATAAGTAATATCAACCCATCTATCATCATCTCCATAACACCCGCTACCCGTCCTCAGTCGGTTAACCCGCAGGCCCAAGCTTTATCCCACATGTAAAAAAACTGCCAAAAGTTTACCCGATCATTCGTCACCTCGAAGGAAACACCATCCGATGGAGTACTCTTCTTGCCAGCACCGGTGACAGGAAACGGCGGTGTCACCCACGGGAAGTTTTCAGGGTCCTGTCTGAACAGGGAAGCAGAGACCGTGAGCCGCTCCACGTGCAAGTCTTGTCCCCTTGCGTCATCGATATATGCAAGTATGTCGTAAGGGGCACTCAGGTGCGGGTAGACTACTGAAAATGTTTCAAGGCTCTTCATGCAAGCCCACGGAATGTCGCGCATCCACATACGCAGCGGGTGTTCGGGGGATACTAACCCCATGCTGATGTCGCGAAAAGTGTCTCCCCCCGTCCCAATATTGGCCAGGTAGGTGAGATGGGGGATTGACGCGAGGAATATAGATCCTTTTCGAACGTGCTTGAAGATCTCCCAGTCGGTGGAGTGACCCATTATCGTCAGACTTTGGGTTTTCCCGGGAAATAGAGAATGTCTGTGGTCGGCATCGAGACCTGCGCAGGAGGTCCTCGCATCTTCCACGAGCTGAACAACAAGCTTTAAATTGTACCAGTCAATTGCAAGTTCCGGTACAGCGAGCAACACCGGAACTAGCAAGTTCATGTACAGCTTGGTCTCAGAATCCTGGAAGCGTTGTTCTGTAAAGTCATTGTGACTAATCCACATCCTCTTTACAGCGGAGGTATAGTCGAAAAAAAGATGGCTTTCTTCCTCAGCGTACACTTTCTGCATAAGCACAGAGATTGCGAACATTCTCATGCTGTCACATCGGCGGAGCGAAATGGTATGCAGGAAATCGGGGAGGATCGTGCGTCTCACAAGTCGAGAGACAAGACATAGAGACAGGGCAGTTTCATAGGGATTTTTTTCTGCATATTCCTCTTTTTGGGAAAATGTCGGTACCGCCGCATATTTAAGGACGAGGAGGGCAATCTCAAGAGGAAGGTCGCTAAATCGAAAGCTGGTAGCAGGCTCCATGATGGGGGAGTGAGATGCTAAGCTGGTTAGAAGGAGCCATGCCTTTAATACTCGCCTCGTGAATTGTGGCATCACACCCACAGCAATAGGTGCACATTGTGTGTTGGACCACTAGTTGTGAGCCAGTGGCCAGAGCGGACTTATTGTTCCTTCTAGGTCGCACAATGTGCTCTTGTCTTGTGGAAATTACTATTTGTTAGTCGCCACAGATTATCCTAGCAATGATGCAGATGCGGCACGAACCACAGAGCCCACCTTCCCACAAGACTCGATGGTACGCACACGGACTCGTTGAGGTTTCGTCATGGCACAATTCTTACGGTGCATGGTTAGTCACTGAGTTGAGTTGTTTCCGGGCAAATTTCACTGCACTCGAGTAACAGGTGACAAGGATGCTCGATAAAGTATGAAATAAAACATATTTCCAAGTCGATTAAGCACTTGCCGTATTTCCCAGACTGATCTCATAGCTACACCCTGTCTGTATGACTCCGAGTTACAGGTAGATGCAACCGCCAACTTTGATTAGTGAGCATCCATGCGCAGGTGAGTCAATGTATAAGCTGCGCCTCTATCTTGAGGTTGTTCGATTATGGGCGCTTCATTGATGTTGCGTCGAGGTGCAGAAGGATTCAAAGACTGGGTCAAAAGTGATGGTACCGGGTTGACTCTCACTCGCATAGAAGCCACAGGATTTTTATCGTGACTTAAGTATATGACACTGACGTAGAGAACAACATGAGAGACAGGTATCAAAAGCATGATCACTACACCGCGAGTATCGAGGTAAATTCAAGTTGTACAAAACTTTGGATTCTATATCCCAGTGTACGTTACGTAGAATGGGATGCAGAATCCATGATCAATGACTGGTAAAAGTATAGCAGACGACAGCAATACAACATAGTAGAACTACACACCGATATGAATGAAACCAATTCTTCGCTCGAGCCGCATTTTCTTCTCGCAGCATGTAGTACGCTCAAGTGCCTGGGCCGCCTTTGTAAAGTCCATGACAACACCATCCTTCAAGTGCTTGAACGTGCTCTTGTAGAAAGCTTTGACGACGTGTTTTGCGACAGCGTCGTCGACCTCCCATAGCGTGCCAACGACATCCTCGAACCATGAATATTGCAGTCCAGCTGCGCAGTGGAATGACTTCGTCGGCGTCTCTTTATCGTCAATGACGGTATTTCATGCCGACAAGAACACAAAAACTCGGCGTATGAAATGTCTCTCCATGATGCTGAGCTGCGTCAGAGTTTATCTCTCATCACGAAATGAGAATTGTGAGGCAGGGTACGGTCCTGCCCACCATGGCAAGCAAGGTGCACCCAGGTGTTCCGTTGTTGAAAGCTTCGGGTGCACCTACTCATGTGGCTTCGTCACAAGAAAATTTGAAATAGTGGTACGGTTGGCCGTCACGGCCAATGACTCGGATGTTCCGGAGAAGTTCAAGCTCGCTGCCTCCAGCGCCTCCTCGAATCGACATTAATGGACACGTCGCCCGGAAGAAGGTTGAAATTTCTTTGCGCCGATGACTGTAGATTGAGCGTGAAGATCACAAAATAGATATGAAGGTGATATAGTAGCGACTCACCTAAGCCTTCAAGCTTAAGCCTGAATACTGGCCTTCTAAGCTACCAGGCATGACGGTGCGGGTGGTGAAGCAACACAAGGATCGAAGATGCGCTGAGTGGTGGGTGAAAATATCAGGGAAGATATGTGAGTGGCCGCCCAGTAGATGGGTGTGTCCTTCAAATGTGTGGCGTTGGAGGAGGGCAGATAAGGATGAAGGAGATAGCAGCGATGCCTAGGCCTGGTTGCTGCCAAGGGCAATAACAAGGTTAGACTTAGATGGGGTGGGAAGACTTTTCCTGTGTTATCCAGACCATCTCGGAGCTACTCGATGCGTTGAAGAGAATAAAAATTATATATAATGGTACAGATCATTATAATTAACAGGACGTTGACGTAGTTTATCGTGCAGGCCCTGGCCAGCTACTGATATGTACTGCAGAGACTTACAATCGCATGAACCATGTTGTCGAGTTGAACATACAGCTTAGTTTCTATTGGCACCGACATCCCGTACAACACCGTTGTTACACACTTCCATCAAGCATTCTAACCGAATACTGCGGCTCAGATCACAAGCACAATTGCTTCATCGCGAAAACCGCCGTCGTCACCTTTGTCGTAAATGGCTCCAGATTACATTCTCACAAGAATCCAGATGTCTAAGGATGAGATTTCTTCGGAAAAATCAACCACAATGATAAGTACCACGACATGACTTGGAATAAATCAAATCAAAAACTGCTCCCCACAGAGTCACAGACTACCCGCCGATTGTAAATCATATCGAATATCTCCCGTACTACACGCTAATGCTAGTTGCAACATGGACTCGCTCCTGGAAAGCAATTGAAGTCGTAGCAGTTGCTGTATTAGGGTCGGCCACCACTCGCAGCTCAGCGTAATATTCTCGCATGTCAAGGATGATCGATGCATCGATGAGGCGTGGTCCCAGCACGAACTTCATCTGCACGGATTCGAAGTTCGAACAGTTGAACGAAACCCGCAAACATCTGAGATTCCACGTAAGATATGTCCTGTAGAAATAATGAATCATGACCGCATGCACAGGTCGATGACAGATCGGCGTACCGCGTAGAACGTTAGAAACAAATAACTGAGTTGAAAACAAGGTCCTAAGCTTGAACGTGCATTTAGCAATTGCACAACTAGAGCTTACTAATACCACCAGCTGCTGCTCATGACGAACGATATAGGTACAAATTTCCTCATCGTTTGTGAGAGCAATTGTGTTATGAGGGAGTAGGGCGCCGTTAGCGGTGAGTTGCAACACGAGCCTTCTTGCATGTTCGTATCGTTTTACATATCGCATGGCTATAATTGAAACGCTCCGACTTATATGCGATCCATTCCCAATTTGGGATGCCTCCAGGCTCCAACATTAATTGTACGAGCCTGTGATCTCGACTCTCCACTTTCTGGGAACACCATGGCCAAATGAAAACGCTGACCTCATGAGGCCGCTGCTGCTATAACCATACTCCACCAATGGCGTTTGGTGTGGTCCATATCAGTCATCCGCTTCGCACCTGCTTATAATATTGACCTCCACTTTTTTATAGTCCACTTTTTTTATAGTCCAAGAGTCCTTAGGCTTGTGTCGTACCATGTCGACGTTGACAAAGATACCAGGGTCATTTGACCAGCCCCACGATGCTGCTAAAACAGAGACCAACGTGTCTGCCTCACAAAATGCCGAAGGTGATCCACACCTCGTCGTCCTCGAGCCAGAGGATAATCCGCAGAACATGTCCTTGTTCAGACGGTGGCTTGCGGTTCTGATCATCAGTTCCGCCTCTTTATGTGTGACATGTACTTCTACGATTGCGAGTCATTTTACATGTCATTTTGGTCGAGACTAATTGTGCTTCAGGCTGCGTTCACAGAACAGGGTGTCGCTCAAACATTCCATGTCTCACATGAAGTGACCGTTCTCGGAATTAGTCTATTTGTGGTAGGTCTCGGAAGTGGACCGCTCCTCGTTGGCCCATTGTCCGAAGTGTATGGTACGTCTAATATCTTTATCCAAAAGCATACTCTCAAGGAGTTGGGCAGGCCGAAATGTTGTATACCAAATATCTTATGTGTTATTCTTCATCTTCACATTCCCCGTGGTGTTCGCTCCAAACATCGGTGAGTACATTTGTTACCGGAATGGATGATAGATCTACAATAGAACAGCAGCCGTTTTCTTGGTCTTTCGCCTTATCACTGGATTCTGCGGATCAGCCTTTTTGAGTGTAGCTGGAGGTAGTGTAAGTGATATGTTCCCGGATTCGAGTATTGCAAGGTAGGCCCTTGGATTTGCGTTCTGTTCGATATACTGCTGAATCATGTGCCAAGTCCAATGGCTGTGTATACCATGTAGGTTTACTCGAACAACGCTAACAGCCAAATTACACTATGGAGTGACTGATCATCTTGAAGATCTCCATTTATCGGACCAGTGGCTGGCCCGTTGATTGCTGGGTACATTTTTCATGCTCCTTTGGCAGCACTGTTCCTGATATGACGTGATGACGTAGGTTCATCAATCAGGTTAGACTCACTGGCCTGATCCTTAATCCTCGTTTGACATCTTTCTGACAGCATCTATACTGGGAATGGACGTATCGAGTGCAGTTGTGCTGGATTTTTGTAGAGTTTCTGATGTTGGCTACAGTGCGTTTTTTTGTATTTCTTTTGCGAGATGGATTGATTTATGAATTGAATTTAGTTTGTTCCTGAGACGTACGTGCCAGTAATCCTGAAGAAGAAGGCAAGGAGGTAGGAGTGGATGTTCTCTTTTTTCTTCTCATCTTTACGCGATACATTAATCCGCTCGACAGACTGCGGAAGTCGACTGGCGACCCGAAGTTTTATGCTCCTTTGGATAGACGGGAAGGCACTCTTACTTCTGCTATCCTTATCAGTTGCTACAAACCGTTTCGTAAGTCATCAGGGATCATCTCCGCTCTATCGCAAGTAATAGTGTGGCACCTTTACTAGAATTACTTCTATTTGACCGAATGGTACTGCTTTTAGACTCTTGGTAAGGACAATGCAACTTATTGGCACTTTGTGCAAGTCCTGATCATTCCAGGAATGCCCTTATTCTGGGAATCCTATACCTGGCATTCCAAGCATTCCCCATTATTTTCGAAGATATTCATGGATTTAATATGCAAACCACTGGACTAGCGTTCATTGGGATTGGACTCGGGATGCTTTCAGCCATTTCAACACAACCGCTCTGGAACAGGGGAGTCCCCTTTTCTCTGGTGTTCGGCATTAAATCGATATTAATGGTCCTCATTTCTAGACTATATGCCCGTGAAACTGCCAGATACAACGGTGATCCACCTCCTGAGGTCAGGCTTATTATGGGTCAAGTAGGAGCGATACTCGTGCCAGTGGGTCAGTAACCAGTCTTTCTTGGTCGCGTGGTGCTTACCATGTCCACAGGTTTATTCTGCCTCGCGTTCACTACATATCCGCAAGTTCACTGGATTGCCCCAATCATCGCGTCTGTACCTTTCGGCTCTGGTATATATTTTGTTTTCACATCAACGTTCACGTACCTTGTTACCGCATACCGCCCAATCGCTGCCACTGCCATGGCAAGTGATAGTGCATTGCGGTTCGCATTTGCCGCTGTATTTCCGCTATTTGCAGGAGCAATGTATGATAAACTGGGGACTGTTGGCGCTACCGCCCTTCTGGCCGGCCTCTCAACGATTATGGCGCCATTACCGTGAGTCAAACAAACAGCAAGTGGTATGCAACATTGACCCTCATTTCTGACCATCAGTTTCATATTCTACCGAATTGGCGCGCGATTGCGGAAGAATTCGCGTTTCGCAGCACATTAATATTTTTACACAAGGTTTATTTGTGAGGACCGGCGGTCCAGACCAGCGTCCTAATAGATCTGCAGCTTAGAGAAAGACACCCACAATCCCTCCAAAGACCACCTCGACCGCGCCCAACACCAGTAAAATATTGAAGCCCACTCCAACCACTACACGCCCGGACAGAAGTTCCCCTTCACGCCTGCCAGACATTCCCCTGCGAGACACTACACTCCTGCGAGAGTTCAAAGGCCATGAAAAAGACGTAATGGCAGTCGTAGTGTTCCCCGATAAACGACGGATGGCTACGGGCTCGGCCGACAACACACTTCGTCTGTGGGACTTGAAGACAGGTGTTATGTTGAAGATTGTAAGATGGAGGGGCATAGCACTAATGCTGTGTGGGGATTGACGGTATCACGAGATGGGCAATAGATGGCAAGCGGTGTTGTCGAGTTGAACATGTGACCGCTTAGCTATCAAACAACTCTATTAGAATTTAGCATAGTACACGCCTGGGACCCATCAACCATTCTAACCAAATACTGCGACTCGGATCACATTCGTACTCAAGCACAATTGCTTCATCGCGAAAACCGTCGTCTTCAACTTTGTCGTTAATGGCGCCAGATTCCGTTCTCACAATTGAAACATCGTTTGGTGCAGATGTTTAAGGACAAGACTTCTTCGGACAAATTAATCATGACAATAAGTACCACGATACAATTTGGAATAAATCAAATCAAAAACTGCTCCCCAGACTACCCGCCGATTGTAAATCATATCGAATATCTCCCGTACTATACGGTAATGCTAGTTGCAACATGGACTCGCTCATGGAAAGCAATTGAAGTCATAGCGGTTGCTGTATTGCCATCGTCGGCCACCACTCGCACCTCAGCGTAATATTCTCGCACGCCAAGGATGAGGCGTGGTCCCAGCACGAATATCTGCACGGATTCAAACAGTTGAACGAAACCCGCAAACACCTGAGATTCCATGTAAGATATGTCCTGTAGAAATGATGAATCATGACCGCATGAAGAGGTCGATGACAGATCGGCGTACCGCGTAGTACGATAGAAACAAGTAACTGATTTGAAAACAAGGAACTATAAGGAAGCTTGAACGTGCAGAACTTTAGCAAAAAAAGAGAACCACATTCAGATTATGAGCTCACCTCGCAAAGTAACTCACGTGAGTTTGCATTAACACTTTGAAACAGTCCACCATAATACCTCCTGTTGAGTGTTGTCGCAGTTCACGGAAGTGCTTCACAGCAATCCGGACTGCGAGATACAGTGCAAGAACCTCCCATAGAATCCCAAGTCCCCAAATCGTGGAATCTAAAAGTAGGACATCTCCCATATAGGTAACCATGCACTGATAGGTCCCGAAGAGGACGTATTCCTCTGACATTTATCGATGAGCCTGACGCACTTGAACATTTCATACATAACTAAAGCTTACCCCCTGAAGCCTGCATCGTTATTATTGCCATCATCACTGTGTCGGCGATTCTGATAGACACAAAAGTGACAACTAGACATATCAGCACTTTTCTAGATCCCTGATACATGGCATATATTCGAGTGATCATGATGACTTGCATGATCATGTTTCAGTCAAGTAAATATCACGGAGGTGTATAGCTCACCGCCCAGTAATACATTCACTACCTGTTCCATCCAAGTGAGTGTGTTGTTTACGATAAGGCCTGGCAAATCGAGCAACATTAGTTATCAGCTTCGGAAGAGCACAGACTCGAAACAAACTCACAACTGTGGGAGTCGTTATGTTGAATCAACGAATCGTTTGAGAATATCACTCACCCCTGCATAGTAGTTCAGTTGTTTTGGCGGGAAATGAAAGCATCAGTGGGGAACACTCACTGCATCCGTCGTCGAAACAGTTGGTACAGTGACTGTATGCCGCCCGTCAGAAGAAAGAAGAAACAGAGTCTATGCGAGGAGACATACTCAACACGTTCATGCTGATTGTGAGAGATGAGTAATGAGCGCAACATCAATGACTTAAACTTCCAAACGTACACAATATATGCAATTCCGACATAGCGCACCTAGGATAGTCAGCAAAACTTGGACTTGCTAAGCGTAAATACAAGGTACATACAGTGAGATAGAGAAAGGTCATAAAGGACCAGCGTTGCCTCTGCCGTGAACAAGTTGTACTTTCATGTCGTTCCTTTGATGTAGGAGTCCGCTCACCCAGATCAGTTCAATCTATAACACAACGCTAAGCGAGTTGGTTGCCCCAGTAATGGATCGACCTACCTCTTGTCCGAACGCAAGCGCTGGAAACACCATAAGGATCTCAGTGACTGTTTCGTACTTAGTCTTGCTCACCCCAATCATACATTACCCCGACAAGGGCGGCAACTGCGAGATGGCAGCGAAGGTCAGTCACTATCATCATGCGGCTGGCTCTCCACGAACCTATAAAATAGCTGCAGATAAGATTCCCATCGATGATTGGCCACCAACCGGGATCGTTCGAGACCACGGTCATGCTATTAGAGAATGGGAGTGAGGGAGCGGGAGAACTTGGTGGACATATGGCGATCGCATTCGTGCTTGATATATCGCCATCCAGCGCTTAAATTGCCAGAGTGAGATTTGAAAGATGCATATCTAGTCGGAGCAAGTATTGAAATTGAAACTTTAACGTAAAGATTAATCGGAGAACTGTTCAGAGCGATCTCCGAGGTATTTCTACCCTACCCCATCAATGACGCCATGTGGTACACAGGTTTGAACAGCGCCCAAGTTGCCCTGGTAACAGACATTCAGGTCAGCAAAGTTTTTTAAATCCGCTTTACTTAGGAGTAAACCAAAAGTACATACATACGTCGTATCCAATTCCCTGTCATAAAACACAATCGACGTGTGTAACGACGAGGGCAGTCATGCAAAGAAAATGGGAAGTTGTACAAAGAAGGGGGGAAAGGCGCGGTTGTACAAAAGAGGAGGGCGTAGTTGTACAAAGAAAATGATGTGGACAGGAACGGAGGCAATAGGAACAAAAGCGATGACGAATGGGCACCCGGGCAGTGCACGCTTAAATACAAAGTTGACAAAGTAGTTTAGGTTGAACGCCACCATCAGCGCACTCTCGACTCCTGTCAGCACCTATCTCTCGTTATTGTCGACCCTCAGTACTCAGTTCTCAGTTCTCAATCCTCATCATCATCACCCTATTCTCAGTTCGCCGTGTCCGAATCTGTCAAAATCACTATGCAACTCTCGTCATTCTGTCAATGACATACCCGTTTATATCGTCATTCACTCAATCGTTTCGTACCCTCTTCCATTTCAGCCTGTCAGGTGCGACGCCACTCCCTTAAGCGTCCGTCGTCACATAATCGATTCGGCATAGCTATACCCGACCCTTAACGTTTTGCAGTATGAAAGTAGCCGATGTACACTCCTTACTTCAGGCAATCATACCAGTCTTCTAGTCTCAGTCTCGCACTCGTCACTTGAACAGCATCGCTATATCTATCGCTTATCATCTCAGACTCGTTTCGATCCTTTCCGCATAACTTTCGTTAATGCTAACCTAGTTTTACAGCGCACTTACGGTCTCCACGCCCCTTCGAACTCGCGGCGAGAGCCACTCAGGTTCTTACAATAGATAGATCAAGGTCGTCGACAAGCTTGAGGAGCGAATAGCCAGTTGGGAGAGGGAGAAATCTGCTGTTCATTGAATAAGAAAATTCCTCCATCCGTACAAAAACTCGACCCAAGGAGACGCAAAGACAGACATTGATGAGATCAAGAAACCGAAAAATAGGGTGTGTGAACCGCGTGTTTCATGGGACGAGCGAGAGCGACAGTGGTCACTTAAAGAGGAGAACAAAGGAGTGTGCATGCATGCATTATCACGCGTAACGGCGAACTAACGAGCGAGCGTGTGGGCGTCCTAAGAAATACGGAATGAAATATGGATCGTCAGTATATACAAGGTGAAGGACATGCGAGACATACCTTCGACGATTGGAAAACCAAAAAGACCTGTCAGAGAGAAAAATAGGAGGGAGGTCAAAGTGTAGGGTGCCCGGTGGAGGCGAACAGGACGAATAGAAAAATAAGCAACCTGCGAACGACAAACAAAGACACGAAGAAAGAAAGTCGTCAAACAGAAAAAACAGAACAAATGGGGGAAATAAAGAAATCAAAATAACTCGTCAGATAAAGCCGATGGAGCGATCGTAAAGACATACAAGTACATCGGAATCCAAGATATACAAAGATGAAGTCAGAGGGGACGAAGAAATCAAAAATGAAGCATCGAAGATAGGATAAGATAGATGTCTGCGAGCACTGCTCGCACAGACCATCGGAAATGGAATCAAGTAAGCTGAAACGCACTCCCAAGCGCAACCATTCCGCTCTCGCCATGCCAGATAAAACAGGACTCGCAGCCCTCGAACTCCCGAGCGAGATCCTATGTGCAGCACGGCGAAGCGTACGTGGACATGTCTGGGTAGCAAGCAGAGGTGCAGCAGGCGTACTCGAGGACATGGAAGGTGTATTCGAGAAAATGGAAGGCGTACTCTGAGATGCAGTCACGGGAGACGCAAGGGATACCGTAACAGGATATCCGATGGGAGACGAGGGAATAGGGTGCATGCAACGTTGCTGTAGTTAGGATCGTGAGCGACGAGCAACAAAGGAGTAGCATCTATGATTGCATCTTCACAACGTAGTCGACCATAGCTCCCGCCCAGACACATCGGAAGCCAAACCAAGTGTTGTTGATGAAAACAGCACCATGAATCGAGGGAGCACATGAATGTCCGGACGACGCATGTTTCTGACATAACCGATGCGGTAGAGAACTTCAATTACACTTTGTTCTGGACCAGTGTCCAGTTGACCGTCAGGCCATCAGTGAACTGGCGAGGAAAATAGAAGGTCATAGTACGTAATCACAAATTCACAATCGAGCATCACAAATATTGCCGTGTAAGTTTTTGTACTTATCGAAGCCATTAATGCTAAGTAATTGCTATTGGCATCGTTCGCCACAACATGATTGAACTCAAACACCAAAGCTACTGGCATAGTACTCAGACAGGTGTGAGGATCCCGACTCCCCCATCAGCTCTCTTCAAATCCACTGACCATCTTTTCGTTTCATCCACAGTTGCCTTCAAATTCTCAATTTTAAGATTCAGCATCTCAAGCGCATCCAAACCCATGGGTAACCGCTGCGGTATCTTTCCTCCCTGTACGACCTCATACACAGTCCGCGTGAACTTTTCCGCGTCTCCTTCGAAAACCGCACCCTCTAGCATCTGACGCACCACGGAACTCGCAAAGGACTTGTCGACGTATGCTGGGTGTTGCGGTAACACCAGTCCCCCTTTGATTCCGTTTGTGTGGAATGCCCCGGGTTCGACGATGCAGATCTGTTTTCTTGTCGTGAGTACAAATTTATTGGTGAAGCAAACAACATGCATTTATGTTCCAGGAAGGTGGCAGCTCTTTGGCGAGACCATCTGAGAACCCCTCCAGCGATGTACATCAAATCAATCATCAGCACTTCCCACTTTCCACACATCAATATTTCTACCATGTTTGCTGAAAACCCATTAGCATCGTCTCAACCAACGCCAAATTCAAAATGTACTCACCTCGCAGCATAATAACTCAACCCAGGGAGCGCATGAAACCCACCAACCGAACTGACCTGAAGAATCGTCCCCCCCTTGCCTGCTTCATTGACCTCCCTAAAAAAAATTCACCGCAGCACGACTGACGTTTGTCGCACCCCAAAAATTTGTCTCGAAAATCTCGCGCGCTGTATCATCGGGCGTGCCTTCGATTTCCGTGATAAGTGCATATCCCGCATTGTTAAATACTACGTCTAGCCGTCCGAACGCCGAACGCGTGCGTGCGAATGCTTCGTCGATGTCTTTTTGCTTCGTGACGTCGACTTTAAGCACGAGGAGCTTGTCTGCTGAGTATCGGGCTGCAAGATCAGATAGGACTTGTGGGTTGCTACTACGATGTCGCCTTGATTGAGCGCGTACTCTGTCATAAATCTTCCGAATCCCGACGACGCCCCCGTTACTGTGCGTGGTGCTTAATATCAATCGAATTACTAGTGAGTAGAGGAAACACTCACTGAACCAGACTTTGGGAGAGGACATTGATGAAATGATGGTTCCCCTTCCTTGGCTGTGGCTTTTATGCCATCCTATCGTCCACCAAGAATATCAATCAAAAACATTTGTAAGATCCATCAATGCGTCAGAGAGCTAGCGCTGACAGATCAACAATTCGTATGCGCCGTTGAACGTACGTCACTTCGGCACCCTCGTCAATAGCTCGTTTTCGGCACTTTCAAAGATTTCCTGCAGTCAATACTTGGTACTCATCAATCAATGTCATAATCGGATCAATCGACTCATTACTGTACTCCGCAAGTCTCGGAATGAAACTGACTTAACGCTCTTTGGCTTCTGGTTAAGATTATCCGACTACTTCGCGTCAAAGATTCGGACGTAGTAACTGCTGATTTCCCCTCAACTCTAGCGTGAGGACGAACCTCGGCATTCACCATCAGCAGGAAAACCGTAACGCTGGAGATACTGTCTGGATGTCATACTTGCGTAGACCGTGCTCGAGTCAGACGAAACTGCCTTGATACCACTGGACCGGGGGTCCCAAGGCATGGACTAGACAACACACATCACGGAGTTCTCTGCACACAGCCTTTGCCCTAGTCCACCACAATTGTCCACAACTTGATATGAGCTTATGGACTAGCTTAATCTCGTTGTCAATAGTCGAGAGCTCCACCTTACCCGATTAGAACTGAAAGTGTCGGGGTGAGCACTGCTATGGTATAGGACTGTTATGTATCTGGCAAGGACAAGCGTGAAAACCAACCTTCCCGCAAGCAAACTTCGAGGTAGCGGGCTCTGCCACGTCAGTTGGCCCTACTGCTCATCTGTCGTAAGCTACTCGAGAGGGGCAAGAAATACCAGGGAACTACATCGACATTTAAAACCAATGGTACAAAGACAGGTCATAGTATGAATATTTGTTATACATAGGAGATATTAGGCTGGGTTAAGCAGTCTAGCAACAACAACAACCTCTAACAAAAACGTGCCGAGGCAGAATGGTTATGCACATGCGCCATCGTTCGTCCAGTCACCGGAAGTGCCTAAAGATCATCCCGAATAGTGTCAGCAAAACTAGCAGCGTCACATCAGAAAAATTTCACTTACCGTCCGGGATATCATTCTCCGACCACCAATTTGCAGTCCAGAGGTCCCCGCTGTTATAACGTGATACGTTAGGTTCCAATCCATGAGCACAAGTCAACTTGCACACGCACCCATAAGTAACTTCGTCGCCTCCAACATACTAAGTAAAGTGATTAGACTCCCAGAACTGCGCAATATGTAATTGAACTCACAGCAACACCAGTTTGCCATAGCCGCCACACCAGTGCAGGAACCAGTCCCAGATGTCGTTGTGGGAGAAGGACTTGACGTTGTGCTGGTGCTGGTTGTGGTAGTAGTCAGCGCAGTCGTGGTCGTGGTAGTTGGCACAGTCGTGGTCGTCGGCGGAGGGGCAGACGCACCGCCTAACAGTGCATCCTTGACAGAGATGTCGTATCTGCTATTCGCTGGAGAGCAAATTCAGTCACAAGTGTATAGAGGCAGTATATAACCGCTTTACCGTATGCCTGAGACGCATCCCACAGCATGACGCCTCCGAAAGACGAATATTGGGCCATTGTTTGCTGGATGATTGGGGTAAACGTCGATGGACTGACATATCCGGATCCGGCTGCACTCGTTGATGCTGGGGCACCAATGTAGACTTTGACATTCGGATTGGGGGATACCGTTTCCGCCCAGTTGTCCCTGTGCTTTGGTCAGGCCAAGAAAACTTCGGCCAGTCAAACGAGATCACATACCATGTGCTAAAGTCCCAATCCTACGGTTCATATTGTTAGCCAATGATAACAATTGATCTTTGGGATACTTACATTCGAGTCATTGTAATTCGTCAATTCGCAATAGTTGTTATCTAAAGGCGTGTGAGACGCAGAGACTCAAACTGAAAATATCACTCACAAAACTGGACATATACAGCGTCAAATCCAAACTGATCCAGAGTAGTACCAATGTAGGCATCGGGGTAAGGACATTGAGGCGCTGATAAATCTCACAGTATCAGTAACGGTTGTCGTGTGAGGCATCAGAAACCGAACCCGCAGTGATGTAGTACCTGTAAAAACTGTTAGAAAGCAAATCAAAAGCCTGTGGAACGACTTACGGCTTCCTGCCACCATCCATCAAGGTACGAAGGGCAGACAAGAAAGATACAAATCCAGTCTGAGAGCCACCTTCGATGTCCATATCAATGCTAAATTTAGAGTCAGATCGCACGTTTCTTAAGGGGTTGATGCATTATTACCCATCCAAAACAGCGGACCCGAAAGGACGCATGCTGCTCGAACCTCCCAGGAAAAGGTCCCATATTGTCTGGGCATATGCCGTTGCTTCGCTATCATTTGTAAAGCCGATAGAACCTGTTGCTCCTCCCAACGACATCGTGACGATTTTTCCTGCAGCTTGACAAAACTCGATACTTGATGCAAGGAATGAGCAATTGAGGAGGTTCGTCCCTGGAAAAATAGGGTCATCGGCCGTAGTGCAAGTCTGTAGCCAGTTTAGACAGGTCCGGGCAATTAGAAATGAGAACTTGCATTTCCAAGGTTGATGGACGGGAGATTGCCTGTCGAGTAGAACTCGTCTAGAAAGGCTACCGGGAAGGTGTCGATCACGGTGTCCTGCGATTAAGACGTTAGGTAAAATTTCCAGTATAATATGGGAATAGGCCAACGTTGCAATAGTAAGAGATCGGCTGCTGCCAATTTGCAGTATCGGTTGGATTCACAGCTCCATACGAGTTCTGACCCCAGTACCTGCAACCCATATGTCGTTGGAAACGGAGATATGCGTATTATGTTCGTGATTCACTCACACAGCCAGCTAGTCAAAGTTGTCAGTCACGCATCAAGAAAGAGGAGGGCTAACTGACATTCTGGTTCGATGACATGTCGAACACTGCAATAGTGCGGGTAACGAAACGGAGAAACAGTAGACATGTCAGGCGTGGTTTGGAAAACATCGCGATAATTCCTGTTGCAGTAAAACAGTGACAGGACGGGAGTCAATGGCCGACAATACATTATTGCACAGCACCACTTTCTCTTTATGCAGCACGGAATGCGGATGGGATGGCAGATAGAAGTCTCGACGAACCTGATACGGAAAGGATCACGCTTCATGGTAGTTTGACTGCAACGATTGTACCCGCCATATCAGCGATGAACGACTCAGCTGAACCATTCGGGGCAGTTGAGTCTTGCTCAAACGGAGTGAGTCGCATGTCGATTGGATGGATATGGACTTCTGGTTAACCGTCCATGTGATACAACCAAACGAGATCATGAACTGGAGCCATGTTGTAGCCAAGTGAGTGTCCAATAGGTGCCACTTGCTAAATTTTCGTTACATCTGTGACATCCAAAAATATACTATGTAGCACTTGATGCGCCTTTGCTTTGGCTATGGCACTGGAGGAGGGGCCTCCACGGTGCTTAGATAAGAGATTCCTTCTCCAGTGAGATCCCCCAAGAATACACGCGGCAATGGCGACGTACCTTAGGGAATCCATAGGCCCTGTTCGTCACGTCGTGACTTAGTAGATCAGGACCGCCAACTGGCCATCAGAGCCAGGTATATCAACCCTAGTAATTTCTGTATTAGCAAACCCAAACACTACAAGTCGAACATTTGAAGCACATGGTATGCCCACAAAATACTTCCGATACGTATCAAATGATCCGACGAATGCTCTGATAGGACCTATAATGGAAGTATGTAAAGGTGTTGCGGAAACGCCAAATCAGTATTCTTCTCGGACTGCACACTTGGGCTGAGCGCCGACTCCCGAGTACTTGATGGAGTCGATGTATATCGGGAGGTCGAATCCAAAAACTACCAGGTACTACCTGTAAAGGTCAGCATGGTCGTGCCGGCCAAGCGTGATTCACAGCGCATGAGCTGGGTGAAGCTCTTAGCACCTAGATCTACTTGGGTCTGTTCCAAATATTCCCGGCGAAAGGAGCCTGGTCATGGCTAAAGATCTCAACCAGATAGATCGACTTATCTCTGTCCCACTGTCCCACCCATCGGATGAGCCTGAGAGCCTGCAGGACATCCCGGAAATGGCCGGTTGGGGACAAAGTCTGGGGCACGGCAGGTCCATCGGGAATATGAAAGTCGCTGTGTGTATCAAGCCTGCTCACTGTCTGCAACAGCACCAAGGACTTACTCTTACTCCCATGGACGTCGGGAGCCTTTTAAAAGCACAGGATGTCTCAAAATGTGAATGTATCCCACTTATACAGTAGTTGTAATACATTTGATGAATATTTAGATTGTCAATCTGACATCAATCAACCACACAGTGAGGACACACCTTTGCCATCGGCTTGCCCGAGTTTAAGTTCAGGTTGCTGCGACCAATGGAAAGAGGAATGACGGCACCGCAGCCTGTACAATCAAGAACGATGCCGATTGTCCATGGACGAAGAGAGAAGCCGACCAGAAAGGCAACATCTGGAAAGGTGCTGGGCGGGCACTGACCTGAGGTTGATGGCCTAAGTCAAGTAAGTACTTGTTTGCCTCGCCAAACAACAACTTACTCATTATTCTATTCCCGCCGCGGCTACCTTGAGGTAGCTGGCCATGGATATATATTTGTGGACCGTTCAAATCGAAAAAACCGTGGTTTTGCATGCTGGTCCAGGATATGTATAGTGACATGATACATCTTCCCATGGTGTCTTGCAACTGGAACGACCGGGTCACAGGGTGGGGTGTGTTGCATATGAAACTGCAGTACGAGTTTTTGAAAAACTCAGCCTCGCTGCCTTTACTGGGACTTTTGCATCTAAATTAGGCAAAGTGATGTCATATCCGTGCGCTTGACCGTATTTGGATGCAAAAGTCCCGCTGAGTCTTATCATCCTACGGTTTCCGTCATGTGCAACACACTAGTACTGTACAGTCCTTCGTCATCATGTCGTTTATATTTACTCGAGGGCCTAAATATATCTGTCGCACAAGATGACTCTTCTGCTGATTCGCCACTCTTTGTGAATTTGGGCACTCGTGGCGTTAGTTGATATCTCGATGGTGACATTCAGTTCTCTACCGAATTTCTGTTCGACCTTCGCCGTGTCGCCGCTCCTTGCCAGCCACAGTTGTTTTGAGTCGTGACTGGTTCGCTTCTTGTCACAATACTCTGATCAGTCATCCTAAAGTATGGCTGTTGTTGTGCAAGTGGACGCTGACGAAAATTATGGTTCGTTCTCGATTCTTTTGGTCGGTTGATTCTCATATTTTTAGGTCGTAACAGTGTGGGTGATAGTGAATCTCTCGTCAGTGAAGCTTCCAAAGCAAGTTGTTTGTCGGCGGATCTTGTCATTGCTCAGGATATGCCGGTGGTTCATTATCAAATACTCCATGATCTGTTCATTGCATTATCGGACGAGGATGGTTCGGTGACTATGTCCAAGGAAATCGTTGTGGCATCCAAAAATACTTGCTTCGATCAAAAGAACAGATATCATCCCTACGGCTGACAGAGGGAGACTAAAAGCGTGTGATGGTGGACATCAAGATTGCTATCGTGATACGTTCCCCAAATTTAGTCGCTCCCTCACCCTAGATTACTATGACCCTAGTCTCCGATAATCCCAGATGGGGTTCCTTAATCGATCAAGCAGGTCATATCTCCAGCTACTTTGCAGGTTCATAGATAACCAGTCTGGTGATGATGGTGATGGCTCAATCTAACTTTGGCTGTGATTTCGCAGGTGCCGCGACTAATATAAGCAAGTTAGTATTTTCGAGTGAACCGTACATCTTAAAGTAGGCTGACTGTTTATTCAGAGACTGATGACTCAAAAAAATGACAGCCGCCTGCAACCAGCTATACGGCTCGGTCAGCAAGTTCAAACTTTGCTTAAGGACCTCGGGTGGCACAAAGACCTGTCGTCCGTGCTGAATGCTACAATGACATCGAGGCGTAGATTCCCACAAATGAGGTGGGCTTGTCTGAGTGTTTCGCTTTGGTTCTCATGTTGCTCTTCACAACCGGAGTACCTCATGCACCCTTCCGCACCTTCGCTATCCTCTCACGCAGCTACCTGCAGCGTCTCCAACCAACGAAGACTGTCATATCCTCAACCTTGGCGTCTCAAAACAGATCCCATGTCGTATAGCCGCGATAACTGCGCCTCTTACCCCCTATCGCGGCAAGTTGCAGCCTTCAGGCAATGAGTCCGCATGGATGCGACAACAAATTCCTGTGACAGTAGAGTATTTGGCTCCATTGACGGTACTCTGACAGAGTCATTCAAGGGCCGGCATTCTGTTGTTTATGCGACAAAACCAGTACTCACACGTACATTGCATACTTAGACGATCCATGCTACATCGAGCTTGACCCCTCCAGCCTCGCCATGATACCTCCACGAGTTCAATAAAATATTCATCTGTAGAACTTTGGTGGCATAACGTCTACCCACCACTGCGGCTCTCTGCCCATGAACTTGGTGAGTTCATCAACCTGTTTCTGAGTAGGACGCTGATGATAACTATCCGGCTGGTCGCTGAAGATGTACAACACGCAGACAGCATCGTCTTCCATGCATTCCACAGGAACTATCTGTCCGGGAGGTAGAATTGCTAGAGAGGTCGATAGCGAATGGATGTGGAAAGTTTTTTGGAAGCTGTAGCTAGGGTCTGCATGGGCATTGGTCCTGGCCATGGTTTCGGAAAAGTCGGGATGTAGCTCGGCGAGGAAGGAACGAGCCGTGTCATAAAGCCACTTCTCAGATACGTAGTAGCCATACATCTGACGGTTGCGTTGTGGGGGTGGAAGGGTTATATTGATACGTTTTCGTTTAAACCGTTTGGTAAGTCCAGAATCCCGCTGTTGGTCTTGCTTGGCTTCATCAAGCTGAGCAAGAGCAATTGAGAGGGATATGAACACACAACACCTGGACGCACCTGCATGCCAGACATTACTCCATCGAGGCTTTGGGATGATTGTTGCGGCATTTGTTCGAGTTAACGGGGCGGATGTTCGGAGTTGTGCAGCTGAGGTCGGAGTTAGTTTTGTTAGATATGATAGGAGTCGATGGAATTTGAAGTGTCTGTCGCGGTTGCCCATCCAGCCCTCGATGCTCTCTCGGCGGCCTGTATTTTCACCTGGAGTCAATTTGCCAACCAAACTTTCAAGAATAAAGTACTTGTATCCAGCAGTACTGGTCAATGTTTCTTTCACGCTGGCAAGATCATACATGAAACTTTTCAGAATATCTGCCAGGATGCAACAAACCGTAGCTCGTGCGGCCTCCAGCCCATTTCGCCCATTCGCGAGTGAGCGATCTCGGGCTGCAAGTTCGAGCATCCTGACGCTGTCCAAATCTAACTTCGAGGTAAGACCTAGTCAAGAGCAGACCTTCAAGCACAAAGCTAGGACACTTCGACACAACTTCACCAGTTGCAGGTTGATCTGGTGGTATCACGATGTATCATCACTGTAGGATTTCCAGTCCACATCGACGTCGGTTCGACCATTTAAGAATGCCACGATCCTGAATGGGCGATTCCTGATGTAAGTACTCGTTTTGAGCAGGAGAGCGTGGAGATAGGCACGGCGAGACGCTCGTGGCGTCAACAAAGAGATGGCCAGTGACTCAGATGGCAAGGAAGAACTGCAGCAGAACTTACTCGTTTGGAGATCTTCGGGATAGCGGATCGTCTATGAAATTTCGACGCAAACTTGACACCAGCGAGTTCTCATGGAGCCACGTCTAGAGATATCGAGTTGCTATGGAACATTATATTTCTCCGTCGGACGCATAGCGGATGCATGTTTTGGATCGTGGTGTTGTTGGCAGAAGTCGGGAGTTTTGCCAAGAGAGTGAGGGCGATTGAACCGGTGGACTGGCGCGGCCGACAATGAGCCTGCCTACGGCAGACGGAAGTTCGTGTGGCCTCAACCTGATCATAGATGCTACCTGCGACAATGCCCAAAAGCTCTACTCCTACTGACTACTAAAGCTGCGCAAAAAGGGTGGCAAACACCCGTCTGCACCACTCCCAGCTGGAGGGGTACCCCACTCCACCGGTCTGGCAAAACTGGTTGTGCTTGGCCCACAGCCGAACTCACGCGAAGGGAGGGTGGCGGCAGAACCTGGCAGAACTTCGGGGGTACCAGAGATATAATTTCATACAGCCTACACAGCCTAGAGTTCTGCCGGTTATGACCAGAAGAACTGACCCTTGGGCAAGTAGTTCTGCCTTCTACATGCACTATTTTTGGGCCGACCCTCCTTTACTGCCTGTACATAAAAGCGAAGAGATAACTTTCAGTTCAGTAACAAAGAAAATCATCCAGCCCTATCCTGAAGCGCAACAATGAAGTTCACCCCACTCACCACTATGATTATGTCTGCCGCAGTACTCGCGGACATCGCTACAGCGAAAGGGTCGTCATCTCCTGCCGGTGGTGCGTGCGCCCATCCTGGTAAAGCATACTTGTATTTTGATATCAGACTGCGTACTTACGGGCGCTTGCAGGACAGTATGAGTGCGGAAATGCCGCGGATTATAATGGGGGAAATGCATTTTTGTTTCAATGTTCAAAATCTGGTGTTATCGAGCCAGAAATTAAAAAGTGCAATTGTCCGGTGTGCTGTGAAGTCTTCAATGGAGGTGTAGCTCCCAATGGGTACACGAGATGCTCATAAGAGGAAAACGTGGGCTCACTTCTTGCTTGCCGTGTCAATAGTTACAGCTGTCTCTGTAGGGTATACATCCTCAAGACCCACTTTAGTGGGAGAGAGTTCTGTAGAAAATAAACTAGCAGCTACCCGTCACTTGGTTACCAGGTACCGTATGAGGGCGTCCGTGCTAGATACACCACCATCAGCGATTTGTGGCCGAAGTGAAGATCATAAACCCGTTTGTGAGGTCATTGAAGATGCCGCTATAGGATATCTGTCCACGAGGGTGTTGCCTCTCAAGCAGAAGTAACGTCATCAAGGACGATGCGCTGAAGGAAGAGGAGAATTGGGGATAGAATAGGACAGCCCAATCAGACTCCAACTACACGATTCAGTGAAAGTGAAACGGACCATTTACGATTCCACCAAAAAGGGTTTTCGTGGTAGGTCTGCTCGAGAGTGTGCGTAGGTCCAGGTGCAAGTTCATGAAGTCATAGATCCACAAAAGCTACCATTAAGATAAGAGATAGCCACGGCGAGACACTCGTGGCGTCAACTAAGATACAGCCAGTAACTCGGCGGCAAGGAAGAACTGCAACTTGAATAGAACTTACTCATTTGGAGATTGTCGGGAAAGCGGATCGTCTCTACGAAATTTCGACGCGAACTTGATACCAGCGAGTTCTCATGAAGCCACGTCTAGAGATATTGCGTTGCAATGAAGCATTGTATTACTCCGTGTCAAACGTCTCAGAATCGAGGCGCGACTCAAACACAACCAATATTGACCTGAATGCCCAGAGAAAAGACCATTGGTGAGCACTAATACATAACTAATACTAAATAATACCTGAGAGAAAACGCCAGCACGACGTTAGAAAGAAAAGGAGGAATCAGCAAGCTTTGACTAAGTACAAGCGTGCGTACACAATAAGTCTCGTGACCGAAATGCGAAATGTTTATGACACTCCGTCGGACGCATAGCAAATGCATGTTGGAGTAGGGGACCCCTAGGCAGAGGGTGAGAGCGGAGGAGAGTTTGGCGGTGTTTGAGCCGGGGTTAGCCGAGGAGAGAGTCGCTAGAGCCTCCGGAGGCAGTAGCAGTCTTCAGGTCTTCGTTGTCCTTCGATAGCAGAGTCTTCGGGCATACCCCACTCCAACTGGTGAACAGAGCGAGTTCGCCTCGACCAAAGCTTCGCATTGGTCATCCCCTTCGAGCCCAGAGTCCAGAGTCCAGAGTCCAGAGTTAGAGTCCAGAGTTTAGGGTTCAAAGCCCAAAGTTTAGAGTCCAGATGCAGAAAGAAGACGCCTTGTGGAATACACGAGCAGACGATCTGAACAATCAAGTTCAAATGGGTCAAGAAACACGAAGAGAGCACGCTGAAAAGCATAGCATTTTTAATTTTGGACTGGAAAAATACACTAATGACGAGCCAACCCCCTTAGCCAACTGCCTAAAAGAAAGGAATTACCACCTAGAGGACCCAAGGGGCAGTTCATACCCAAAGCCCTCCAGGACACCGATAATTCTAGCAGCGCATTTACTTTGTTGGCCTCGTCTCCACTCGACACACTGTCACAACCCTTTTAATGAATTAACGCAGGGGCAGAGACTAGGACTCAAACAAAGGTTATCGCAACAGAAAAGAGAATATGAGCAGGGATGTCTTAGGATTGCTAGCAGTAAGCTAATACAAAAGAGGTTTGAACTAAAGAACTACTGACTACAACGAGCTACCTATATACATATATTGAAACGGAGAATGAATCTGAGTCTGAACTAACTAGCCAATCATTAAATAGAAAAGAGAATCATACGATGATCTAAATATAACTACACCTATGATGTCATGAAACGTGTGACGGCTGTACAAGGGTTCTCGAAGGTTCTAGAGTCGCGTGACTTGATCGCTTGAGTAAGGAAGTCGAAATCAGGAATGTCGGAGATAAAGGTAGTGGGCGCTAATGGAATAGAGAAGTTCGGATATGTAAAGGATGGGTTCGGGTTAGGGTTTGCAAAGGTTATCGGTACAGACGCTGACTGAGCGCTAACGACAGGCGCTTGTGATGGGCGCTTAACAGGTGATTTACGAGTGTTCAAGAAAGAATAATGGTTTGTATTTGGAATTCGTGACACACACCAGAGATCGACGAAAGGCAACTCAACCAAGATGAAGAAGAACCAGAACACCGGGACACTTCAGATCGCGAAGTTAACAGGTACATAAGGCAAGTTACCAAAAACATGGCCAGATCACCTAGAAGAAGCGGTAGTAGCATTGAACCACCGCATATTACCAGCATTGAAGTTTTCACCGAAGGAGCTATTACTAGGCCAAGTAATCAACACCCCGCGAACCGACCTAGCTAACTGCACTTCAGCGTTACATCTGTCAGACGCCAACATTCATATGGCATATGTTGCACAACAACACCTCGACGGTTATGAAGCTACAGTCCAGCATGCTGTAAAGAGGAAAGCTGCATTTGATAAGAGAGTACTAGCCCGCTCACCAAGGGAAGTCATATTCTCAGCAGGACAGCTCATTCAATTCTTTTACAGCAACCAGCACAACACACTCGAAGCAAGACGCAAAGTGATACCGAAATGGTCCCCCCCCACACCGCATAATCGAACGAATACGGAACTCATACCACCTGGAAACAATTAACGGCGAGCCATTACCAGGCGAATTCCATGCGCGAAGATTAAGGGTGTTCCACCCAAGAGAAGGCACCAAAGCTAGCTGAGGAACAGAAAAGAAGAGAGTCAGAGCTATAGAACGAAGAAGATAGAGACGCAATCGAGAAAACAAACAGCAATGAAAACGGCCAAGACCAGCACGTAGATGAAGAAAAAGACGAAGAAGATGCAGAAACAACAGAAGAAGAAGAGGAGAGCGAGGAAGAAGATGAAGATGAAGACGAGGAGGAAGATGAAGAATAAAAACAAGCAGAGGTGTTAGCGACGAGGACGTCGCTGTTTTCAAAGGGGGGCACATGGAGTAGGGGACCCCTAGGCAGAGGGTGAGAGTGGAGGAGAGTTTGGCGGTGTTTGAGCTGGGGTTAGCCAAGGAGAGAGTTGCTAGAGCCTCCGGATGCAGTAGCAGTCTTCAGGTCTTCATTGTCCTTCGATAGCAGAGTCTTCGGGCATAGCCCACTCCAATGTTTTGGCCCATAGTGTTGTTGGCAGAACTCGGGAGTTTTTCCAAGAGAGTGAGGGCGGTTGAACCGGTCTGGCAAAACTGGTTGTGCTTAGCCCATGGCAGAACTCATCCGAAGGGAACGCGGCGCCAGAATCTGGTAGAACTCCAGGGTTTCTGCCAGTTCTGCCAGTTGTCACCAGAAGAACTTAGCCTTGGCAAGTAGTTCTGTCCCTACAATAGTTTTAGGGCTGACCCCCCCTTCAATGCCTGTGTATAAAAGCGAAGTGATAACTTTCAGTTCAATAACAAATAACACCATCCAGCCCTATCCTAACTTGAAAGTGCAGCAATGAAGTTCATCTCACTCACAACTATGATTATGTCTGCCGCAGTACTGGTGGCTGCTGGCGGTCCATGCTACGTGCCTGGTGAATACCTTCAGCGTACCTGTGACTGCGTACTTACGGGCGCTTGCAGGATCTTGGGCGTGCGGAAAACTCCAGGATTATAATGGGAACAAACCATTTTTGTATTACTGTTCGCCACCGGGTTATATCTCGAAGGTTAAACCTTGCAGCTGTGCAAACTGCTGTTCCGTCACCAGTGGAGATGTAGGTCCCAATGGGCACACCAGTTGCACATAAGAGGAAAAGGTGAGCCATGTTAATAATGACTCGTGACAAAACTTACAGCTGTCTCTGTAGACTGTAGGTGGTACCCGTGGGAGAGAGTTCTGTAGAAAATAAATGTCCTGTCTGTAATTTTTTGCATGGTAACCATACCAGGTGCTGTGTCCGATGCTATCATTTCTCCTCGGTCATACTTTGAATTCGCAAGTGGTGTTCCATTGATGCTCGATTGAATTTGTTTATACCACACCCGTCGTAAAGTCGTATTGTCCTTAGCCCAACGGATGAGCTCACGGACACTGCAGTACAATGACGAAAGGAATTCGTAGACAGGTCATCCTTGGACATGCAGCATTTTCTCAAGAGGACGAGGACGCTCTTGACGTTGAGCTCGCCTTGGACAACGCTAACATCACACACGATGGTCATAATTGTAAGCAAAGTTCTCCCGAAATGGGAATTTTCACATCTTCTCACTCGCTTTAAGTTAGCTCCTCCCTTCATGTTCGCCCGGGCCTGTAAGGACTATAAGTCCTTAAGGCCCCGACCACACTTCAAAGTAAGACGCTCGAACCATACATTCGGAGTCGTCCACATGAGTCACTGATGCGATGAGTGACACTCATCGCATACATTCTCCTTTCAACTTAATGTTCAGTACCTTCCTTACTTTCTGATCACACCATCTGTTCATTTCTTGAGTATTTTCACTTTGACTCAGAGTATTTTCATTTCGAGATCGAGTATTTTCACGCTGCGTCCGGTGTGACAATTATATTGGCGCTAGGCATGTATACCTGCATAAGCCTTCAATAGGTGGACCAAAGCTAGACCTCATATCATTCACTATTCCCCTATACACGGTCTTCAATTGTCTCAGCTATAATCCTTGTCCGACGCTATTCCGCACATTCCCGCCACTATGCGCGCACATTCCCACAGCGCTATTCATGTTCCCACGACTTATCCTGCGCTATTCCCGCGCTTATAGCGCTGTTGGAACTACCAGCAATGTGTCTATAGGAGCATTAGTGCATGTCCACTCTATCTAGTGCTTGTTCCTGCGCCTAGCGCTAGTCCAGCGCGCTGTTCTCGTGCTCTAGGAATCACCCGAAATGTCGGAATCCATCCATGGTCCATCCTACCTCATTGGTATGTAATTTGCCTTGCCTCGAGTTTGTAAAAAGTGCTACAGTCTTATTACATGTATATCCTATCCCTTCCGAGTCCGAGATGGTATAGTTTACTAGTATAAGAAGCCTATGGTGACTACTTTGACATTACTTCCCTTCAACTGTATTTCCTTTCCCTTAGGTTTTACTTAGAAGTAGTCACCCTTTAGTTGCGCTCTATGGCCCCTATTGACTTTCCTTACCCTTGCAATCAATACCCTTGATCTCACTCGCTATCCAGCACCCTCCTTTGACTCAGTGTCCGCTTTCTTGACTTCCGCTCTTTCCCACGCATTAGCGCTCTATCTTGCGATGCGCTATTCCCGCGCTTTAGCGCTCTTTCGGGTCTTTTGATCTTGAGTTGTTCTTAGTAGCTTTTCCCTCGGGTCAAACGTTCTTGCATCTTGTTG